TTCGTGTGCAGTATGACGCGTTGGATGGGTTTGCATCTGTAATGATGCTAATAGTATGGATTTGAGCTGGTGCGGGCACTTGGGCCCCTTGTTTTGCTATCGATCTTTTATACAAAGATGTTATGATATATTTGCCCACCGAGTTGAAGAACTCGGTTACGAACGGGCTTTCTAGCCCTACCAAGTTGAAGAACTTGGTAAAAATAAATATTTTAGTCTACCGAACTGAAGAGTTCAGTAAAGGCATGGATATCAGCCTTACCAAGTGGAATAACTTGGTGTAAGTAAAGGCTTTATCATACCGAGCTGAAGAACTCGGTGTAATGATTTTTTCTTTCGCATATTTCCCAGCCGGGAAGGTCTTATTGACTTTGTCTAATCAGTGTGGGCCCAAACAGATGAAGGCGTTTGGTTTATTATATTCTTTTGATTTGGATGTCAAGATGTATATCCGATGCGTATATGTAATGAATGTATGTATGACGCGCGTATGAATGTATGAATGCATTACGGAGTATGCCGATGCGTAGTGGGAGAAAGAAAGATACCTCGGCATTTTGTCGAGTCTGACATATTCTGCCGGCAGGTGTTATGCTTCGCCGGCATAATCATATATATGAAGGAAGGTCGGGATTATGGAGAACCGACATATGTTGCAGTTATGTGTATAACCAATTTTGCTGTATGAAATTCAGCGATTTCTAGATCAAGTGTAATGAACTCGGTACATATATAGAAATCCGAGTTCCACGTTGATCTTTTTAATGAATTCGACAATAGTGTAAGTCGGTATTGCAAACTTAAGAGTTTGCCGAACTTAACACATGCGATGTCGTACATAAAATAAATAGGGTTCACCGAACTTCGTCAGAGTCCGATTATGGAGTGGCCCCAACCGAGTTGTTTGAATGAGTGCACGGTTGTCATCAGGGCCCGTCAAATCATGTTAGCTGAAGTGACGTGGACGAGCTTCAACCCCAACCAAACCATGCGTGGGATTTGGATGTATTACGGGGTATCAGCGAGACCGAGTGTCGCTATGCTTACATCGGTACCGAGTTGATGCTCGGATTTTTATTTTTTGTGATTATTCGTTTTTGCGGCCGGAGCGGGGGCTCGACGGCAGGACAATACGGAGCAGAGGCTCAACGTAAGAAAATATATATTTCCGCTCAGCCGGAGTCGAGGCTCA